ACATATGTTTGCACGAGAATTACCGGAAAAAGGTGACTTTGATCATATCAAAGTTCACGTAACACGATATATCGAAGATCGACATCGACTTCGGCCCGTCCCCCTTAAAGAGAAATCAATTTCGACGGCAAATTAATACGTTACACAAAACGCTTCACCTCCGGTCCTTCTCACATGACAGAGACGCAAAATTAATAGTCCGATGCAAAACGATATCGCGTGATTACGGTATCGCCATACCGATAGTTGATCGACGTTACTATCGAGCTGCCCTGTGGTAACAATCTCGAATTACAAGATCGCCAAGCTGAGCCGGCTGGTCGGAACGAGTGCGCCGTAGGTCTGTGGTCTTCCGCAAGATTGCACGTTGTTAGTAATCGCAAATACAGGGATCGTTCCCATTCATTACGTGTTGTCAATGGCGGTCTGACAAACAGCCGAGAAAACTCTCGATCTACTAAATCACGTGTCTTCGCTTTTAAACGGGTGGAAACGAACAATCACCGCCGCCTCGGGCTCGAACGAAAAGAACCTTTGCGCTCGGACGTATTTTCAGGGTATTTTCAGGGTATTCCCCGGTCATTCTCTTGCTCTCGACGGCCGCTCGCCGGGAATAATATTGCTGCTACAATCCTTCTCTATGCTAATTTCTCATTAGCTCTCAGAGGTCGATATGATTCAACGTGCATTCCCGACGAACCGCTTTCGCGACGCTTCGCGCAGCGCACAGTGTCAGAGGGAATAAAGACTTCGAGAAACGAAGATCAAAGCGCGGACCGCGGCTGCGTTGAATTAGAGGGATATGCGTTTGTTTCGTCCTACCGCAGCTATTTCCGCGACCCCATCGGGATACCGTATTCACGGCAGGTTTCTAATAAAGACCCCTTTGAAGATTCTTCCAACTTCGTTGAAACTGCAAAGACTCGCTACCCGATCCGCGATGACAAGCAGTGGCAAAATCATACTCGTAGTTCGCAATTAATAATTCGATTTACGACAACAAGTTGATGTCCCTCGATGTCTCGATATCCGATTCGAGAGGAGCCGAGCCAGCGGGAATTTATCGGGCGTTATCGGGACTTTCCCAAGGAAGTTACCAACGATTGTTCAACGCGAATGGGACAGAAACCGCGCTGCCGTTGTGCGTCGCGCGCGTTTCATCCTAGATGAAGGAAGAAAGGGAGAGAAAAAAACGGTGATGACGAGGAAGACGACGGAGGGAAGGAAGAAGCGTGAGAAAGGGGGGGGGGAGGGGAAGAAGTGGGAGGACCGGCGGAGGAAAGGGAGGGAAGGAGGGAAAGAGAAGTGAAGACGGTGGGAAACAGAAGAAGAGAGAGTACTGTCTAGAGAGTATATAGTCGAAAGAGGGCATTGCGTCCGGCGCAGTGACCTACTATCTTCGGTTCGACGGCTCGGCTATGTAGTCAGCCGGTGTGGTTAGAGTATGTAGAGTGTACATACTCTACGGGGAGGCGTACGCACACGACGGTACGCACGAACGACGGTGCGTAATGCGGACTCGACACAGGCCGTGCATTTTCTTCTACTTTATATCTTCAGTCGCGCCGACGACTGTCTCGGCGTTATTATATCGACATAAGAAGCGCAATCGGGCTGTTGCGTGAAAGGAGACGCGTAAAATTGTAAGGAGGCTACTACCTCCTCCTCCGGCGCTCTCCACCGCGACTGTTGCGACTTCTCTTTTGCTCGTCTCGTCGATAAATCTCGAAATATCGCGGAGCGATTGCAAATTGGACTATGACCGGTGTATACGCGAGCTAGTTTCGATTCTCTCTCTCTCTCTCTCTCTGTCTCGCCGTGTTTTCTCCCATTAATTATTCAGAGAGCTAATCCCCGCCGTCTCCTGAACGCCTCCCTTCTTTATGTTGGTATCTTGTTGGTAGCCACGTAGTCGAGACCGACGTAAATAATACAGGTATAAGAGAGGAGCTCGGAGATTTGATCTCCGCAGTGCAGTCACGAAGTAAGAAGAAAAATGCACGTTCTCTCTCTCTTCTTCTCCCTCTCTTTCTCTCTTTCTGGCTCTGTCTCTCTTTTTCTCTCTGTGTGTTGAACTTTTCCGAAACTAGATATATATGTACGTAGCGCGAGTTACGTGACGCGCGAAACTTCGATGTTGCGTCAACTATTTTTGTGTCCATTAATCATTTTTGCAGAAACCGACACCGACAGAAACTGTCGCGATTAATCAAACTATAAAAGCCAGGCCAGACAGCGCTCCCCCGCGCTCGATTTTTAATTCTACAACGCGTGTTACCGATGAAACACTCGAAAATCAAAGCCGCGGGACTCCATGAGCTTTTACGGGCGGAAGTACTGGAAGGGTCTTTGAAGATATGCTGAGGAAGGTACGACGAAGAAGCTAATTCAATCGTGGGAAGGGAAGATGGTATTACGGCCTTTGTAGGTATTACGATCCCCCTTAATCTTTCCTTTATCTCCGCAATTAGGTGGCGAGTTCTATACGAAAAAAAAGGTTTACATTAACCGGCAAGAAAAAGAAACAACCAGATGCATTTTGGCTGAAGGAAGATGAAAAATTCACGATTGTAGTCATCGTTGTTCTTCCAAGAAAGTTCATTCCGAATAAATATATGAATTCGTAACAAAACACCGTGTTCTTTTTTTTTCTAATAAATCCAATTTTTTAAATTTATTCTGCGGGAGCCACATTACCATTCTCGTGCCTCTTCGACCCATTATGCAATGCGACATCTTTATAAATCACGTCTTAAGTAATAAACATTTCATAATTTTGAGTTTACACGAAAAGAAGGAAAATCTGGTTGCGACAACCGGATGCGTTTTGGAGAAGGCAGAATTCCTTACGACCCAAATGCGCTTCTCATAAGCAGAAATTCCGTTTTCCCCGAGCAAAATGCACCTTGTCATTCTCTCTCCGGTGAATACGAGCTTTTCTCCCAACACTTTGACGAATGTAATCGTTGGGTTTACAGTGAAAAATATCGATCGTTTAGAAAGTTATTGCGCAAAGTGTAAAAAGAAGAAGATCCACGATCCACCATCTCCGTCCTTCGCGAAATGGGAGGACATCCGCGCGCTATTTTACACTCCTCCGACGGCGCGGCTCAGGAGCGAGAGAGAAGTGTTTTGCAGCTCCGATGAAAACGTAAGTGTCGAGCCGAGTAATTGCGCGACACCGGTAGTTCCTCGTGGTCGTTGATGATGAAGCGCCCCTTCTCCCGAAACGATCGTTTCAATTCTCACGGGCGGAACGGCGGATGAGGGGCCGGTCATCAGGCCAATCGTCATTCGTTAACAATACGTCCCCGCGAGCGTATCCGCGTTTCACTGATTATCCGGCGCGGTTAGGCCGCGCTCCATTCAGACGTTTGCCTCGGCGAGGCACCTTGCACGGCTATATATGTGGCACAGGCAGAGCCCGCCGGCTACGGTGATTCCTCTTAAGCATTAACTTAACGTCGTGTTGATTCTCGGCCAGCAGCAACAGCAGCAGCAGCACGTGCAGCACGTCGCGTAGCGGTCCCGGAGAAACGCTCGCCGCTCGCCGGGCATCAATGAAGTATCACTTTTTGCCGGATGAATTTTTTAACGGTCACGTCGATTTTTAACGGTCGTCGTTAAGAGGCCGCTCTCCTTCCGTCTCTCGGCGTCGTTCAATCGTCTCTCTCTCTCCCTCTCTCTCTCTCTTTCTCGCGCGCGGGATCTCGCGGGGATTATCGATTCCATTGCGCGAATTAGCATTCCCGCCGTGGGGTACGTCGTTTAACTCTCTCGCGGCTGAAGTAAATCCGGAGGATTCTCGAGGATATTTGCGCGACGAGGCGCACGTCCAAACGGGGGCTTTCGATGAGAAGAAGAGGGGAGAGGAGGAAGAAGAGGAACGACGGAGCGTCGCAGGCTCGATCGAGGAGAAATCGAGCCGCGCGAATGAGTGTGCGTAATCTACCGAATGGGAGATATATTTATCCGTCCGAACGGTCGTTCCTGAGAGATGTACTCTCGGAGAAGTCGAGCACACTCGGAGAGTGAGTACGATGTCATCGAGATTACTTCTGCGCCAGTAAGAAGGACCTCACGGGCGCTCGTCGCCGATGTCAATGGGAATTACGCTGCGCTTCGGCTCGCGAAGGCAGGCGGATTTAATCGATATCGAAGGAAATGGCTCGCCGATGTGACACGGGGTATGATTATATTGCAGCGGGCACGCGCTGCGACTAATCATTCTTTCTCTCTCTCTCTCTCTGAACGCGTATAATCCACACAAAACGTCACGTCAATCTAACGCGAGATGCACAATGTACACACCGCTGGAACAGGTGCGTAAATAACATCGCCCGCTTTACCGCGGCGGCGTAACGGTCACCGTATTAACGAGCCGTCTGTCACTTTAAAAAGGGGGTAGAATACGCACTAACCGAGCGATAATCTTCGTCGTCCAGCCGGGAATTATTGCACACAGTGAAATTACAACGTCGATCGTCGTGGTATGGAGATTTTACTGCGAGCTGTTGTTACGGAACGGATGTATCGCGCGATACGGACGCACGCAGGACGGGGAATGCGTAATCGACCGCCGGCGGGATTAGAAAATTGGCGAGACGTGTCCGCGAGGGCGATCCGTCTGATTTGTTTGCGAGATTAATTCGCGAGATGTCTCCCTCTCTCTCTCGCTCTCTCTCTGTCTTTCAGCTTCTCGCGCGCGTCACAATCGATTACGATGACACCACGTTCGTCCACTCGCGTCGGAAAGACGGAATCAATTCGCGAAATTAATCCACCGAGGATCCGAAGGTTCTTTCTTCTTCCTATTTTGATGCTTTCAACGCTGGACTCTGCCCCTCGTTTTGCACCGGCCGAAATATCCGAAGGGATCACAAATCGGACCCATGAACCGATTTGATCTGTCATTTACCGATCATTAAGTACGCATAACGAGGTGGTCCGACCGTGCGATAAATTATCGGGAGAACAGTTTTTCGTATTATTTTACTCACGGCCAATAGCAAGGGCAGCGATAAGATAAAGGCCGTCTTCCGTATATTCCGCCACGTCCTCTCCATCATGTGCGTGTCCTCTCTGCAACGAAAAGAAAACTCTAAAAAATTGATAGGCGTACTATCGGGGATCTCGCGTGATCTGTCGGCCTAAAGAATCGATTCTTTCGAGAAATGCTCGGCTCCATCGGTTAGACGCGAGTTCACGAATCAGTGGACACGTGACATCGAAGTTCCTTGTTCGATATAAAAAGAGAAATAAGTCTTTAACCAATACAGATATTCTCATATCTAAGCAAGAATATTATAATCACCTTAGAAGACTTTTAGTTTTGGCTTGATTGAATTTGTATTGACGCAAGTATCACTTGCGCACAATTCAAGAGTAAAAACCTTCTAAGAACGTTACGATATTCTTGCTTACACGGGAAGAAAAAAATTGGTCCTAAATCAAGAATAGATATTCTTATATACAGGCAAGAATATCAGAATCTTCTTAGGAGACTTTCAGTCTTGATTCGATTGAATTGATGTTGACGTGATTATTACTTGAACACGCAATTCGAGGCTAATCTGAATCTTCTGGGAAAATATTACAACGTTCTTGCTGATATATGAGAATATCTATTCTCGATTTAAGACCGATTTTTTTCCGCGTGCGTATAAGAATTATCGTCGATTCAAAACTACTTCCCTTCCCGTGTAGGGGGGGGGGCAGAATTTCTTCGTACGTTCACCGAAAATGGTGGCGACGATACTCGGCACGGGCATGTTAACAACTCACTCGGCAATATCAGCCGATATAATCGTAATAACAGAAGGAGATTATTGGTCAAGGTCCGAGGAGCACACGAGGAATGACACGACCAAAAGATAATCGCCGGCTGCAGTCGCGCGTCGCTAGCCGGACGCGCAAGTGGGATATCTACGTTGTCAACACGGCAGCACGAAGAACGAGTTACGCAACGAACATTTAACCCACATCTCAGAACGCGGAACTCACGGATAAGAAACCGCGTACACCACCAGAGATATCGAACTTACGATCCCCCGAACCGTGTGGGATCCGGCACCGAAATCACTCACGAGATCACCTCAACTCCGGTCTGTGCCTTCCTCCGTGCGACCCTTCCGACAGATTACGGAATACACAAATACGGGAGAAAAAGGACCCAGAAAATCACAATGCGCACGCACACGATGCAATCGTATACATTTTTAGCGAAGGATGGGGTGAAGGGGGGGAGGGATTACGATGTTCTCACAGTCCATAGTGCAGCGAAAGAAGACCGATTAACTCTCAGATCCGCAGACACGCGACTCGTGATCGCCGACGACTCGACAGGTGCGAAGAGTCGTTCGCGCGAACGAACGGATGCGTTTTCGCGGGGAGAGATCCGCTCCGAAAAGCAATTTCACCGTGAGGAAGGGAAGGGACAATTAATCGATGCACCTCCTTGCGAATTCCTCCTGTTCCTGGGAGCCGCCCGTTCCGAAGAAACGCTCCGCTCACCCCGAGAACGATCCTCCCGCGGGAATGCCACCTGCCCTTTCCCCTCTAATGACGACCCACGAATGCACCGACCGCGACGGCAAGACCTCCTCGTCAGTTGGTCCTCATCGGGCCCGCTACTTTCCCGTTCCTCCGATTCCGTTTCTTCCGTCCTTCCCTTTCTCGTTTCTTTTTGCCTTTTTCGTTTCCCTTTACCGTCGTGTTTCTCTACTTTTCTCTCTCTCTCTCTCTCTCTCGTGTCCGACCGCGAGGATTCGACGGGCCCAGAGGTGGTTTACCTGGCCGACGGGGACCGACTGAAGGTGCGAGCCACGCTCGTCTCGGCCACGAGNGACCTACTGAAGATCTCGATCGCGCTCGTCCATCGTCCCTCCCGCCCTCCCTCTTACGCACGACGTCAGGCCCAAACAGGCCCACCATCGACGGCGCTCTGCCCCCCCTTTCACTCCGCGCCAATCTTTCTCTCTTTCTTCGCGGCGTGGTAGGGACCTTCCTTCGGCGCAGGTGAAAGACACGCGCAGGGCAAAATATATCCCGTCCCGTGGAGTTCCTTTCGGAAAATCTAGAATGCTCCGATGAGGCCTCTCTCAGACCGCCGGGAAGAAATTGGAAGTCGCGACGGGGGGGGGGAGCTAACTCTGCGTCGAAGTAAGGAAAGCGGTTTTCGACCGGTGGGAAGCGCCGGAAGATAATCGGAGGATTAATCAGCGAGCGGGAATGCCGTAAACCGTCGAAACTGAAGCTGACGAGTCGCAGGGATATCAAACGACCCTCGCGCGCCCGGTGGTAATACGAGGACGAAGTTAGCTCGACTCCGCTATGCGACGTAATTCCCGAAGTCTCGGCTCTCGGGGAATTATGCATGTAAGTTGGACACGTTTTGCTTGTACTCGCGATTGTCTTACTATTGACGCTCTGCGCGATATATATACTCGTGATACCGTGCCAAAGCAAGAACCCGTCCCAACGTGGGGAGATTTCCAACGGGGAGATCAAAGCTGGATCGAACGCCGCGGGGAATGAGGGGAGGACTCTTCGGGAATTCCCCGGGAAAAACGGGACACCTAGTGGTAACGTTCGCCGCAACGCGTTTCGGAATATCTCGGCTGCGACCCGCAGACGCGGAGAATGCGTGATTCACTCCTCGAGTGCGGTGCAGTTCGCGGGTTACGCAACGAATTTCGCGGATAGCGCGTCACGACGACCCCGAAATGTCTGATGCCAGCGATAGTCGCGGCGACGACGACGAGTCGGGGTTTTGGCGGTCGCGGTAACACGGAAAATTCTCCTCCACGTCAATCAGTTTGCCGATAGAGAACGAGACGATGGAATCTCTCTGGATGCCGGCATCCGTCATACGAGCGACGAGGAAGTGAACCGGCGAAGGAAGAGGAAGAGAGAGAGAGGAGGATATACTCGAGTCGGAGACGCGACTCGAATAACACGGAATCTCGCGACGCACGTCGCGCGAAAGAGAGAGGGAGAGAGAGAAAGAGAGATCCAGATGGAAAGCGGAGGCGGGATGCGCCGGTACTGCGAAACGTCGAACTGGCTCCAATTTCAAAAAATCGCGCTCGTGGAGAATTGCAGGAACGGGGACGCTCCGCTTGAGAATTGAGTCACGACGTACGGACTCTGCTGATCTTTTCTAAGTCCAATTTCGCGAATCGTCCGCCCGTATCCCGACGTCGAGCGCGAAAGAGCCGCGCGAGATTTCGCAACGCTCACGCGGAATACAGAAGCGCTGCCTTTATCATGACGTTTTCCCGGATATCAAACGGATTGTCCCTTATAAAGGGACTGTTCGTCGCGATTTGCACCGGGAGACCGCGCACCGGCCTCGTCTCCGGAGATATCCCCCAAAGAATTAGTAACACAGTTCGATGCGCTGGAGAGGAAGTGCCGTTCAATTAACGTTTACCTGATCCAAGTGAGATGATCATGGCAATATTTCTTGGCTGATGTTTTCTAGAAATAAAAATGTGTAATTGCGCGATATGTCTCCTTTGTACACAGAAAAAAAGATTTCCTCGGATTTAATAAAGTTTCTTTAATCGAAACAAATCTGTCTTGTGGAATAAAGTATACAAGTAATTGATTCTTTGGGAAATATTTGTTGGATTATTATTGTATTTATTAGATTATTATTTATTACAGGGGAAAATCTAAATTTAAAACCGTCAAGTTTCTTCAACGGAAAAGTATTTTTGCATGATTCTAATAAATACTAAACTCAGAGCCACTTTATACTTATATTTAGTGATTTATTTACGAATTAAGGTCTTATTGAATTCAATTACATACCACGAGCTATTAAAAATACTTAAATCGATAAAAATATCGCTTGATTTGAGAAATTGAAGAACAGGTAATTAAAACGTTTATTTGATTCCAGCACTTTTTCTCTGCGCGGCAGATTGAACGTCAAGCGAGGAAAATGCGTTGATAAACGACTATGCGAATGAATGAGTTATATTCAATATTCCATCGCGATATTCCAGTTATTTACTCGGATATTCATTTTTATTTAAGGAATATTCATTTCTATTTCAGGAATATTCATTTTTATTCAAGGAACTCCGCAATTCCGTTCCCCCTTAATGCGCGCGATTAAAACAATCTCCCTATGACATTACGGAGGAAGCGCACGTGTATTTTGCGAGCGGGCTCGGACGGAAAATCACCAATTACGATTACGGGGATATCCTATTCCACTTATCTGCGTGTCCCCGTTTCGGGAGGACCCGCCGATTCCGTTCGTGCGACGCTTTGTCTCGCACTTTCGGTTTCATTTCTCGAAATCTTACCGGTCTACATTCGGGCTGCATTTGCGTAATGCCGCGACCGATAAGAACGAGACTCGAAAGCCAACCGGCGAGCAATGGGCTGACCTGGATTTCTCGCACCCGCATGGGCGCTAACTCGTCCATCCGGAAATGGCTCATGCCGGGAGGATAACGACGAACGGTAGATAATACGCGAAAGTGCGAGTGAACGTTCTCTTTCGTCACTTTTTTTCCTTTCCTTCTCCCTTTCTTCCCCCGGTTTTTGCTCTTCCCTTCGCTCTTTCGATTTTTCTTCCATTCATCCCGCGCGCGCGATTAAATCCTCACGCGCGTTTGAATCCTGCGAAAGGAGAATCAATCGCGGCCTCGCTCGCTCGCGCGACTTCTGCGCTCCCGCTGTCTCTCTCTCTCATATCGGTGAGCGAACGCAATTCATCGAATGGCGATTTATCGAGCGTCGAATCGACAAGGCCGAAAAGACGTCTCCTGTAATCTGCTTAATAGCGCGACGCGCGACGCATCGTTCGACAGAGCTAATATTCACCGGGACGGTGAATTTTCACTCTAATTTGACTCGACCGAAGGATGAAATTAATATTGGCGTAACCGCCGCCGTGTTCGAATGTGTGCGCTCATTAAATTTGTGGACGATGGATTGTGCAGCCTAATGACGTTATTTGAACGGCGGTATGTAACATGCTAACGCAAACGGTTCCATTCAAGGTCCCTGAATCGATATTCCGAAATTCCTTTCCGGAATTAACGCCCGTTCACCGTTTTTCC